CCATCTATACTGTAAATCTTTTGATGACTCTTGGAAAGACACCAGCCTTTTAGGACTGGAGCAGCTTTGGAGCAGAGAAATGAGTGCAAAGATCTACCTAATTATTATAAATATTTGTTTCCCATCCATTGGAGGATTTTAATAAGTGAAACAAGACATTGTGCTAATGTTCTGGAGTAAATAATGAGCTCTTTGTCATTCAGTTTCATAACAGTTTCTAGACATAAAAAGAAATAGGATACTTACTTTGCTGTGATGGTACCATTTAAACTCTTAGCATTTAAAGAACAATATAATGGTATCTCCAAAGCAACTTCAAATTTTGGTAACACTAGAAAAGAAAAGCAAGGATATTTTAAACAATCTATTTTCCTATCACTTTCAGCTTAGCAAACTAGAGACTAGAATTGTTCTAAAGCAGTTTATAATCGCAACTCTTTGAACTTAGACTTTTTGCGCTCCAAATACATGTTAACACATAGACGGAAAGCACTTCATCCCACTCAAAATCAAAAGCCCTACAAGGCTGGTGACTAGACAGTGACAGTAGGGGCCAGCTGCTGTGGACAATTGTGTCAGTGGAAGCTTCCCACTGATAGAATCTAAACTGTGCCCATAACTCTAGATGCAAAACCATCTGAGAGCTGAAAGACAAGGCTTTTTTTAAAAATACCTTTATTATAGATATAGATGCACAGTAAACCACATATTTCAGATGTACAGTTTGATACATTTTGATGGATGTATACACCAATGAAGCCACCACCACAATCAAGATAGCTAACATATCCATCACTCCCCAAGAGGTCCAAATTTCAAATTCCCAAGTTATCCCTTCCCATCCCCTTTACCCCCTGGTAACTATAAGTTTCAATTGTCACCCATTAGTGTGGACTTACTGCTTGTTAAAATACTTCCACATCACTTGGTAAAGAGCCGCTTCTGAGCGGCCACTTCCCTAACTTTTCTCCAATTTGGTTACTAAAAACACATCCTGAGGCCCCCAAACTTTCCTTCTTCTGCATGGCAACAAATATGCAGTCACAGAGAATCCCTGTCCTCTGAGACTATCAAAGGTCAACCTGGTGACAATCTAACACAATGATAACTGTAGGTTGTTGTTGTTTACAACAATAATAATAACTTGATATTGTTCTTCTGGAACACAGCCCAGTTGCAAACTTAGTAAAGTATAATGGGAGTTCTACTTTCTTCTCAGCTGGAAAGGAAGCCACTGCAGAGATTCTGATAATCCCGTGCGGCTGGTCCAACATGCCCAATAAGGTCAGGGAGGGGGCAAACACATATGACATTTCATACCAAAATCAGGAACAAGAAGGCCCAAGATAGTCCAGATGGTAGCAATAATGGAGGAGGTTGGGTTCAGGCAGTGGCTAAAAAGGTTGACCCCCTGGAGGAATGCCCAGAGATAACCTTGAGAGCATGTGGCAGCTCAGGACCACAGCCATGATTTCTAGACCATCGACAGCCCAAGTTCAACCAGACACTATGGGACACTTAACAGGGGCAGGCAACAGCTCCTCAGTGTCAGCACATCTTGCAGGAACACCCAGCTTAATACCAAATCATGCAGAGGTAAGAGGATAGACTAATAAGGAAGAAACTGTAAAGCCTCTTGAGTCAAGAACTTTCTGAAGGGGTTGCTCTCAAACTTGGGTGTGCAGTAGAATGAGCAAGACCCTGAATCTGTGAAGTCAGCAGCCTTGAGGTGGACGCCTTTTCCTTATGACTTAATAAGATCCTCAGATGCTCGGGACACAGACCAAATTTAAGTCACCTCAGCAAGTACTCCCAGAAGGTGGAAGAGCCTAATTTCCCAACATGAGGACATTTTAAACTGGAATATTTTCACTGTATCTAAAAAAACTATTCTCTTCACTGAATTTGCATGCTTTTATTAAGGTTAAATATGAACCTGATATAATTAACAGGAAAATGGCCAACAGAAATAACCACCTTTGGAGTATTGAACATGATTTGTGAATTTAAAGCTTTTATAAACTTGAGTTTTATTAAACTTCTCTATTCAAACTTGTTATAAATACAAGGAAAACCTGTAAATAATCTGGACATGTTGAGAAATAAATGCTGAAGTATAATTAGCAGTACTTCTAGTCTATAATCTGAAATGTAACACATAACTGAAATCTTTCTTAAATGTAACTCCTTATATTGATATAATTAGGTAACTATATATATGTAATTACATTATAAAAACAACATATATTTAATCAAATCTTCAAAGCTATTTTTTTAAGGAGAAAGAGGATGAGGAGGGACTTAAATACCAACCTTGTGCACACATTCAAATCCAAGTGATTGATATCATCTCCATTATCTTTTATAGCAACATCTAAATCAAAGGCTTCTTGATCTTGGATTGATTTTCGGACTCTAAAAGATCCAGACTCTTTCACATTATAAATAATATTAAGCTGCAATAAGTAACAAATTAGTATAAATAATAAATTAGTAGCAATAAACTGCCTTCATTATACATTCTAAATATTAGGTAATGATTCTCTTTGGGACAAACCCAACTAAATTTGTAATCGTCAACGTAGAAAAAATTAGTTTTACTAAGTATCATAATCAACAAATATAATTATGAACATTTATAAATAATTATTTTTTAAATTGAGAAATTGTTACATAACATTCCAAGTATCCTAGACCATCGTGAATGATATTGATGGTTATTGCTTTTTCAAAGAATGTAAAGCCCTTGAGGGTAAAAATGAAACTACTGCCAACTTTCTTGAAAGCATCCACTAACTCCTAACTGGAGCATCCAGCTGCCCAACTGGAGTCACTTTTCAGAAACTGGAACCTCACAAACTACCAGTAAGATAAATCAACATGTCTTCATCCAAGATCCTTGGTTGAACAGAAACTTGTTCAACTGCCAAGGATTCTTTTTGATCATAAAATGCTTTCCAAAGATGATGAAATACATGGGGGATTTCAAGTCAACTGGGTCTTTTTCGGCAACACCAATTTGAATGGTGCTGAGGGGACACTGTGGGGCAGTGTGAGGGCCAGTGTTTTTCTCAAAGAGATCCTAAGATAAGAAGCTTGGGAGTGTACTCAACATTCCCTATGCCTGTCTTATGCCAACTTGACTAGGAATCTATTTAAATTCTTTACCTCTTCCGCTTTCTTTGATACCAAGATTCATAAGCCTTACTATTACTATGTAATACTGTATTTTATTTTACTTATACTTAAATCTGTCTCTCTCTCACACACATATAACTCAGAACTCAACACTTAGCATCCACTGTGGATTTACATACTTTAAAAACCCCTCTCTCTAAGCCTTCATCTTTCAAACCTAAGAGTTCCAATTTTTGATTGTGCCTCACCTAGGTCATATAATCCTTCATTCTCTTCATCATCTGGAATATCTTAGTCTGGACATTCTCCAACTTTTCCTAAGCTAAAATTAAAATTGTAGGATATTCTTGGAGTATTCTTGGAGTCTCTCATCAAACTGGAGAGACAGCCTCTGTGATTTCCCTGCCCCCTTTCCTGTGACATGCAATTTTCCTTTAGAGACCAATCTCATCAGGAAATAAGCACAACTACGAGGTTTGTCCCCTGGGTCACAATTAATATCCAGCTATAACTAAGGGTTAAGAGTTTATATTTGGCCTACAGTAGAGATCAACTACTCACTCAGAGAACTTCAAGAGATCTTGCCGTTTATTTCCAGTACATTGCTTTCCATCAACCAAAAGAGGTGAACACTGACTGCAAACCTGAGTTTCTTTGCCCTCCTTTTTCCTAGAGCACTTACAAAAATATCAACTAAAGGAAATGTCAGTACCTATTCCCAGATGACCAGCATTTTTGCAGTTTTCTTCTCCATTACATGAAGTGCCTAGTGGTCCCTCCCTTTGTCTTCTGCATGTAGGTACAGACATGGGACTGGTGAATGTGCTGACCAGTAGGTGCCATATTTACTGCAGTGTCCTTCAAACCTCAAATAAAAATTGTCTGGATTCAGTCATTTATCTACATTTGGCTTATAAAGAATGAATTCTAAGCAATATGGTCGTTTAAGTATATATAATTTTTCAATTATATCTAAAAATATCCAATGTGTTTACTTTTGGATTTACTCTTTGCTTTGAAAGACAGCTCAGGAGTGACAGTTTTCACATTGTCTTTGTCAGTAAAGATCAATACAAATTATTCGCTCTTTCTGACCTTTTCATTGAATACTTTGAATACTGCTCCGTTTAACTAGCATTTTTCCTTGGTTTTTAAAAGACATTTACTGTGTTTTGAGTATCATACAAAATAATCTTCACATTATTTGGAAGCTTCCAAATTATACCTGACTATGTGCCCTACTTTGCTAAGTGTTTCTGTTCCCCCAACTAGAACGGTTGTAATGGTTTTTGAAAAAGCACCTCTTCTCTATAACAGCCTTTTTTAACTTTCTCAGTAAATCTTTCAACGTTTGTTTGGATTTTTTTCTAACGAAGCAAATGATCTTTTTTGGCACTGTTACACATTATTTTGTGTCCCAAGAACATGGTAAGTCCCTATGATTTTCATGTATTAAGTATAATAACTTCCATTCAGGATTTTACCTACTGCTTCCATTTTATTCCAGCCCAATTACACCATAAAGGGTCAATTTCTTCAGATTTCCTTCCTACACCAGAGCACGGAACACATCATGCTCTACTTGCTTTATTTACTGTAATATAAAATTTTACATCAAAGGGGCACATTTCCTATCTTCAAGTCAATTACTTGTAATATCATGTTAACCTTTATTTTTTAGGTGAACATTAAGAAATTTTAAGTAAAATGCTACTTATCAAGTCACAGTAGAAACCCTACCAAGTGTCACAATTTCTGAGCTGTATTTTAACAAAAAAAGGCGAGATTTCCCAACAATTCACATGAATCATATTGGAGGATTTTAACTGTCACTTCAAAAAGCGTATAATACTCAAGAATAATTTCTTCCAAAGGATTATCAAACCATATAGTTGCCGTCTACTCACTAGCTAGTAATCTCTCTAACTCCTTTTATTAAAGAGAGTGATTTATCTTGCCTAAGTCATAGAAATTAATCATTAAGAATTTTACATTATCTAAGTTAAAGATTGAGCAGTTCCCCAAACCAAAGAATTATTACAGTAAGTCATAGTTAACAAACAAAAACAAACATGATTACATACCTGACAAATAGCAAATCCAAAACCACTTGCGGAAATATTAACTGCCATTGGCTGCACCACAGCAAGCTGAATGAAGTGGAAAAAAAGTGAATAAGGTTAACTGTCCATATCGAGGTCCTTCCAACTAGCACAAGAGACCACCATTATCCCTCCCTGGGAGTCTAAGAAATCAGCACTGTAAAGCTCTACGAAGTTTACAACACACCCTCACATGTCAAAACTGATGGGTCAACCAGATAAGGGAGGGGAAGGCCGAGGAAGGACACGTTCATGCTGTGGACAGGTCTGCCCTTCTGCAGAGGCCGAAGCATGAAAGACAAGAAACAGAAGCCATTTCCCTCCTCACGCCTCCCTCAGCATCAAAGCCCCTGGCCTTCCTGAGAATGCAGTGGGATATCATCACTGACTAGTCCAACGTTAGTCCTTCCTTGTCCTTTGCCATCACCCCTCCTCCTTAGTTTCTAGTCCTGAAGCTATCCATTACCTTCAACTTCCTACAAGGTTAACCAAGGGAATAAGTTAGGGTCTAGCGTAGTCCTTTATTCCATTTGAAAGAAAGAATTCTACTACTGGTTTCATTAATTCTCTTAAGAGGACATGTGGTGCAGCCAAAAAGAACACGGTCTTTGCAATCGTGGGTTCAAATCCTAGTTCTGCTGTGACTAGTAACATGATCTTGAGCAAGTTATGAAAACTCTCTTAACCTTAGTTTTATCATGTGTACTTTGGGGATAAAAGTACTTACTTCCTACTGTCAGTTTAAGAAGTAAATGCAATAGTACATGCAAGGAAATCCAGCACAGGGCCTGCCAAGAACAGGAACTCAGCAGGTGTTCATTCCTTTCCCAATAAGACAAGGACCATGTTTTCTGCTTTTCCCAATCTTTCCAAAGTTCTCAAACCCTCCTCCCCTCCCCAGCTCAGCACATTCAACCAAAGGACATTCGTTCCTCCAGGACAGGGCTGGGAACAAGCCTTTGTCGAAATCAACAGAATGGAAACAAAGCCCTATTCCAGCAGAAGGAATCATCTACACAGAAATTCAGATAACCAACCACTCCTTGTCCCCACCTCTGCCGTCTGGAGGACAAAGCGGTTCTGTGTGTCAATCAGAAACTTTACAGGACTCGGCGAACTGGGCCCCATCACAGTCACTTGGAGGTTTGTCCTTTCTGTGTTCATTAGGGCTGCAGATTCAGACAGGGCCTTCAAGGCCACAATGGTGTCCTGCTGAGAAAAGAAAAAAGCTTGTGCATGTGAGTATCTATCAAGTTCTCCAAAGCATGAACTTCAGTTTTGTTTAGGACACCTCTACACATTCATCCACCTTCCCTGGGAGTGAACTCTCCTTGACTCATCTTTGCATCTGCTTGACCTGGAGTACAGGAAAGGCTCAGAAAACATCTGCTGAATGAAACTGAACTCCTACTGCAACAGGTACCACGGATGAAAAATGGCTAATAAGACAGGGAACCAATTTATCCCAAGTAAATATCAGATATGATGTTTATATCAGTGATGAGAAAAAATTAAAATTAGCAACTTAAACATTTGATTTGTAATATATATATATATATAGTTAGTTAACTAGTTACGTTACTTTACATATATAAACAGATACATATACATATAGTTAAAGAAATTTAAAGCGATCATGACTCACCTGGGTAGATGCAAAACCTCTGAAGCTATTTGTGCACTGAACCACCTCATTATCGGGACTCCCTCGGCAGCCTGATGCTGCTGGAAGTGTGACAGCAGTGCATACACCACAACTTCAATATCCAGGGAGCTTGGCTGCCAGGATTCAGAAAGTTTGGACACTGATGGCACCCAGAATTGCATGCCTCCTGCAAAAGAAAAGTAGTAACATTCTGACCAATTACAGAAAAATTACATTTTATACCATTAAACACTCCTACACTGGTCCAAGCTCTCCGTGACCAGCATAAAAATATATATATTTCTATATATGTGAATATTTATGCCAAGCAAATATATGTATATCCATACACACACCAACATGTACTTATATGTCCCCTTTAAAACTATTACAACATATACATTTTCATACTTTTCCTATTACTTATATTTGAGGACGTTTTGATGGAAATATTTTCCCAAGAGAAATTCCATATGTTTGGCTAAGACCAAACAACTATAAATTAAAAAAAAAAATACTGTATTCCAGACCATCCCAAAATATTTTAGGACATACTGGAAAGAACCCTGTTCTGGGAGTCTGTCGTTAACCAGCTCTAATGTGCTGGGAAAGTCTCTTTCTTTTTTTCATTAAATGAAAGTTTGTCTTATACATTCAAAATCCAAGACCCCAGGAAAAAAATGAGGAACCCTGGACAACTCTACGAGCTTCCAAGAAATATATCTGCTAGCCCCCTGAGGGTCATCCCAGTCCATACACCCTCCTCTCTCTCAAATATTACTAATTAGAAGATGACTACACTTGGGTGGAATGTGAAATAACTACCACTTAGCCAAGCAGAGAAGCAGAAATGCCAAGGCCTACTTCAGCTTCTGTGCAATCATCTTCTCATCTCCAGCACTGCACTGGCTACTGAGGATTTAATCTAAATTACTGCTAATAACAAGGCAATACTTCTTACAGTCTCAGAAGTCTCTAAATATTTTCCACAGTTACCCTTTCTTGAATTGTAAGAGATGTGAATCAGTCGACATTACCTAAAATGATTTCTGCCCACCCATTCCCCCCTCAACACACACACACACACAAAACCCAGGATCTCTGACCACAGAGGCCGTTTGGGAAGTAACAACACCTACACTTGTCCTGTTGTAGCCCATAAGCAGTCCCCATCCCAAAACTGTTAAAAAATTACACACCCACCTCACAGCATTTTTTTGGCATTTGCGTTTCCAATAATAAAATCAATTAGCATTTTAATTCACATTTCTGAACACTTGCTATATGGCAGTCCCTGCACATTATCTCATTTCATCCTCACAGCAACCCAAAAATAGGTGTTATTCCCATTTTACAGTTAGGGAAACTGAAGCTCATAAAGCTAAATGACAGAGCCAGAACTTGAGCCCGAGTCTCTCTAAAACCCATGGCCTTAGTGACCGCCAAAGGCCACCAAACCAGAAATGACATCAGACAACTCACAGGGTAACTGACATAGGACAAAAATATCTAAAAGAAAGAAACACCCCAAGATCAAAATTGTCTGGAAAACTCTTGGGGAGAGTAGCAGCAGATGGCTACATCACACCCATTCTGCCGTTTCATTTTCAAAAGATGTAAACGAAATCCACTTCGTACGAAATCCGCTTTGTATCTGGTTTACAAAACCTGCTCCCATCACGTACATGACCTGGAGTACAGGAAAGGCTCCCCGCGTTACCTTCTTGTTCCGCTCTCCCCGTCAGCATATTCAAAGCTTCCTTGGCTTTAGGGCTCCTCACAGATGACAGCACATAAGTTACAAGAGCCAGTGTGTAATTGTCTGAAATTCCTCTATCAAATTCAGACTCCAAAAAGTTGACAGACTCCTGCACATCAATATTAGGCTGAAAAGAAAAATATATATATATATTCTACTATTCAAAATAACCCATTACCACATTTTTAAATAAAAAGCATTTTCAAACATTCATTCAAAAAACAATTTCAGTGTCTGTTAAGCACCTGACTTTGTCCTAGGCAATGGGAACCACTCATGATGATCACAGACATTTAAAGATCTGCCTTGCATTTTGAAAATAACACTGCTTTTCAGGTTTTATATGCAAATAGGCACTATTCCTTAGAGGGAATAAAAAATACAAAGTATTTGCCAGTATTTCTCCAGTTGACTATCATGAACTAAGAAGGGAGCATCAAACACAGCCTGAGAAGGATACTTCTCATATTTGATCTCAGGTGTTGAAGCTCTAAATTCAGCTGAAAGTTTATCTTTTACATGTCCAGTAATGGGCTGGGAAAACAGCAGTAGCTTAATATAGAGAACGGCTGTTTTTGATCACTTGTAGTCTGCGTGAAACAGTAAAGGCGTCAATCACTGGGACAGCTCCGAGGCAAAATTAAGCTCATTAGCATAACTTTCCATGCTCACTCGTTTTCACCCAGACATCCATGCCCACTTCAGACACTTTTTAGAGTGTGGGTGTACTTTTTTTTTTTTTACTGAATTAGCAGACATTATAACTGCTCCATGATATTTTAGAAATAAAACAATCCTTCACAATGGAAATTTGGAAGAATTTTCTCTCCCCTAAGAAATTAACTTTCCAATGATAAAAGATGTATTGACTTTTCACACTAATAACAACATCATTTACATTAGGACATATTTTTAGAATTCTCTCAGTTACTCTAAAAGAGTGGGTCATTGTTTTTATTCTTAGATTTTGAATGTGCCCACAAATGCAAAGCGCAAAAGTACTCAAATTCAAGACTTCGAATGTGATGTAAAGCCGCAAAACTCTATTTCCGGATGCATATCTGACCCATCAAGATTTACCTTCCTTGTGATTTTCTACCTATTATTTATTAAATTACAGATTAAATACCTGATACTTTTTATAGCCCAGGAGAGAAGTCACAATAGAAGCCGTAAGGGTTACAGGACTTTTATTGCCACCTTGAAGTTCACTGTGGATCACTCTTCCAGGTTCCCAAAATTCACCACTCGACTTTTGACATCCTTGGAGCCAAGTGTATGTTCTGTGTAATACGTTCTGATCAATGTCTATGTAAGGATCAGCTTCAAGGAAACATTGCAAAACAAAAGCTGACAACCTTGGTGAAAAGGGGGGGAAATTACACAAAATACACTTTATAAAGGCCTCCAAATTACACTGAGCAAGAAAACGTCAACATAACAAGACATTTTTCCCCATTAGAAGACTGAACAAAGGGCAAATCCCTGAAAAAAGAACAAAGGGAAGACAGACGACAAAGAGACAACAAAGTAAACAGCTCAGCTGGGCCAGTGGGCGTGGTTTCCACTTACAATGGCCAGGAAATTCCCCTTCAACTCACAAAATATCAGAGTTGGGAAAGAACACAGAAACCATCTAAGCCTGCCTCATTATTTTATAGGTTGAGAATTGGATACTCAGAAAGAGTTAAATAAATTGTCCAAGGTTATTTATCTTTGGACTATTCCTGGTATTTACCAAGGAAGATCTCATTACATACTTTGTTCAACCCTAAAGCAGTGGATGAAGTATACATAGTTCACAATCAAACTGTCGTACTTTGAAGTAGAGGAAATGGACATTTTTTTCTCCTATAGGACAGGAATCAGCACATTCCAGCCTGTGGGCCAAACACAGCCCACCGTGTGTTTATATGTGCCTCCCCCTCACCAACCCCCAACCCTACACCCAAGAATGGTTTTCAAAGAGAGAAGGAAAGGGAGAGAGAGAGTGGAAGGCAGGGAGAAGAATATGCATCAGACTCTATGTGGCCTGCAGTGCCTAACATATTCACTATCTGACCTTTACAGAAAAAGTGTGCCAATCTCTGCTACGAACACTCAATATTGAGGCACAAAGAACATCATGCAATAAAACCCTGAGACATATTTCTGGATCTATATCCATTCTATTCATGGATCTATAGCCTGACTTGTGCCAAAAGACAATGTGAAGCAGATTCTGTTTCACCCTGTAAAAGACTTAGTGTGGTGAACATTACTAATATGCAACATTATGCAGTTCTCTCCTACTCTGAGTACACAGAATTTGCTTTCTTGTCCTCTTGAAGTTAAGGCACGACCATGGGACCAGCTCTGATCAGAGTAAAGTGGTAAATATTACGTGGAGGCTGAAGCTTCTAATTGCCAGCGCTGGATACGCCAGCCTTCAGTCCCCAGGCTTGTCAGCATCTGGTGAGATGGTGAGATGGTGGCTGAAACAAAGACTGCCGCGCCCCCTGCTGACAACACACAATGGAAATGCAGCTTGAGCACAAGAGAAACTTGCGGATAATAAACCACTGAGATGTAGAGGGTTGTTGTTACCACCACACACCTTGTCTAACCCTACTGATACAATTAGTCCTTTTCTGTGCGAAAAATGAAACTGAAGATAGTACAAGGAGACTAATCATCCAAAATCAGCCACACAGAGATTTCATGCTGGAGCAAACTCTGGATGTTCATGACTTACTCCCATCACTGTGTTTTTCACAAAAAATAACCTTAAAGAAACTACACTGAATTAACACAAAGTTCATGTTGACTGTGTCTGATTAAAAAAAGAACTATGTCACAATCACCCTGTATTTCTAACCAATTTTTCTTGCCAGCTGCACTATCATCATAAAGTATTTTATTGCAGCTTTTCCCACCAAAAAAGAGGATTTATGACTTATCTTCTCTAAATAAAAACATCTGATTTATTATGGTTTTAAAACCATTTTTTAAAGGGAGAATCTCTTTTAAAGCCAGGGTATGGGAAAAGCAGCTTCCAAGTTGATACACAGGCACTTCTGTCAATTTCATGGCCATCGTGACCTAGTCAGAGCCCATTCTGTGACATGTATCTGTTCCATTAGCAAAAACACTTACCACGTGCTCCCAGAAGGGTCATTATCCCCAAAAGCACCGAAAGAGCCATCTTCCTTCTGATAGAGAAGTTCTCTCTGGTAACCTGAAGACATCAAAATAGACAATTAATGTATCAACTTGCAATGAATGGAAGCTTCTAATCATGACATCATATGGGGAAACATGGGCAGAGAATGAGAAAGAAAAAAGACATCAAATCAACTAATATTGAGTATTTTCTATATTATATGCTGTGGGAGATTAAAAACATTAATAAGACTTTTCAGACAGAATGCATAAAATAAGAACTGCAATATCCCCAAATTAGCATAAATTCAGATGAATACAATATAGACAACTATTCTAGCCATTCCAAAGCAAGTAAATTAAAGGCAGACTACTTAACTCTGTAGAGCTAACTACAATGGTTTCAAATGCTACCTAAGAAAAATGCTAGCTTTAGTATCATAATTAAATTTTAAGGCTAAAACAGGAAGTAAAAATACTTTCTATTCTTAGGAGAGCAATAAAGAGGAGAAAGTTGCTAAATAATCTGAGACAATGGCTCTAGGACATTTTGATTATGCCCAACTGAGGTAAACCCGAAAACCAACTGGTCTGCTCAAACATCAACTCAAAGTTCTCACTAAAAAAAAAGGAACATGGTGATGGTAACGAAATCTCACTACAGAACTAAACTGGGGAGGGGGTTAAGGCACTTGTGTCTGCTTTAATAAAACCAGATGCTTCATATCTGCAAAGATGGTTGCAAATAAGCAGATGCTTCATATTTGCAAAGCAATGCATGCAGATCTCAAAGTCCAGTGACTGGGAAGTCACAGGCCAAAGACTGAAAGATTCACCAGACAATCTCAACAAACCAACCTGCTAAAAATGAAATGAAAATAAAATGAAATTAGAATATAATTTATCATTAAAAAGCAAGCATAAGCAGGAGCAAAAACATTTCCAACTCAAGGCTTTATCAATGATTCTCTGATCACCAGGAATTCTTCCTGCAAACTACAGGATTCCACCACAGGAGGTGAGTGCACACAGAATGCACCCTGCAGCCCAGCCATGGAGCACCTGGCACCATGATTATTTGTGAAATGTTGAATTCAATCCCTAATAAACTCAAGTAACAAAAAAAATTTACTGTATGAATACCTCATTTTAGAGGCATCAATAACTGTAATTAATTATTCATATTTGACTAACAAAACATGAGCATTAATAGTTGAAAATTACAGTGCGTCTGCTCTTGCCATGTCCCAAACTTTTCTCCTTTGGCCTTTCCACCAGAAGTCGCAGATCTGAGTATCTGACTTAAGCTACAATGAGACAAAATGGACAAAAAACAAGACCCTGTTTCATGGTGGATCTTTAAGACTGGTGGTAAAAGAAATGTAAGCAGCATTTAAGTGGTGACAGAATTTTCTTAATTTGAAGAATGGGGTCTTGGGTTATCATCTTTACATTTAAAACTGAAATATCATGGCACAAACTTAAATAGCCAACCTGTATCCAACATTATGTGTTGGCTTATCATCTTTACATTTAAAACTGAAATATCATGGCACAAACTTAAATAGCCAACCTGTATTCAACATTATGTGTCAGGAACTGGTCATAGCCCTTTTCCACTATGAACTCAAGTGACTCTCACAACTCTATGAGGTGGAAGCTATTGTTATTCCCTTTCTAGAGATGAAGAGACTGAAACTCAGAATACACCCATGTGCAAGGTCATACGGGTGGTAGGGACTGAAGATAGGCACCTGCCAAGGCCCACCTGTCTCTTTCAATGATTAATATGTGAGAAGTCCTTCACTGAGTAACTTTTACACACGCTCAATAAACAACAGGTACCACTCCATAACATGGGTGTATAGAAAAAGGCTTTCTAACCATCCAATTTTTAAGAAAAAAAATTGACTACATTAATTTTGTTTTAAACTTTTCCATGGCAAAACACTGTAAGCAAAGCTAAAAGACAGATGACAAATTAGGAGAAAATATTTGCAACTATGTAAGACAGATAAATGGCTAATCTCCTTACTATTAATATTATATAGGTTTTATGTATATGTTTATATATATATTTAAATACAATGTCTACATATAGGTTATATAAAGAATTATTTTTTAATTTAGGGGAAAAGGAAAAATATTATAAAGAGAAAAAAATGGACAAAAGACAAGTACAGACATTTCACAAAAAACAAAAGACAGCAAGACAGACATTAAAGTAGGAGAAAATGTTCAACTTCATAACAGGTGAAACACAAATTAAAACTACATACTGAGATACCATTTCTCACCCATCACATTAGCAAAGATTCAAAAGCTTGACCATACACTCTGCTGGGGAGGCTATAAGAAAACCAGTACTTATCCACTGCTAAAGGGAATTCCAAATAGTACAGCTCCTATGTAGGAAAATGTCTATAACTTTTGACCCAATAATCCCACTTCTAAGGCTCTAACCTGAAGATACACCTCCAACATGACAAAAACACGTATACATTTGCTATACTTCCAACATGACAAAAATGATGGCAACATTATTCATAACTGCAGAAATAATTTGTCAACTACTTAAATGCCCCTAAACTGGAGACTGGTTGAATAAACTGTGGTACAAGTACACAGTGGAATGCCATGCAGCTGTGAAAACAAGAATGAGGACTATCTTTCTGAAATCATGCAGAGCCATTTCCTGGATATATCATTAAATCAAAAAGGCAAAGTCTAAAATAGCACACACAGTATACTATCTTTTGTGTACAAACGAGAAAATAAGAAAACACATGTTAATTTCTGCTGAGAGAGGAAGAGAGGGAGAAACTAGAAACTTATGCAGAAAGTTACACAAAGGGCACAGAGAAGGGCTCCGAGAGGGAGAGATACCCCTTTGCATACACATTTTAGAATATGTTTGGCTTTTGGAAGCAAGTTAATGTTCTACAGATTCAAAAAATAAACAAGAATGGAAAAGGATTAAATGGCAGGCACTATTGACGTGATCTTAGTTCACTCTAACATGTTTTAGTTTTCATATAACCTTAAAAAAACTCAATATATAATCTCTTTCTTTGTCAGAGCTGGTTAAGGATCACAGAAATGCAGACTAATTTTCTAATGTTCACAAAGGAAATGAGCAAAAGGGTCCAAGACATTTGCCCTTAATTTCCAATTCAGGACTAAATCCACCAGGTAGCAGAGTTTAACAACGAACTCAATCTGATACAGGCAGGAAGGGGAGGAGAAGGGAAAAAAGAGAAGGGAAGTTGTTGAGCTCCAGGGCCCTCCATCCCCAGAGGAGGTGCTTCTGTGAGAAGATGGACCAACCCCGAGGAAAGGACCAAATGTCCCCAAGGCCCTGAATCACATCAGCAACTGCAATTCCAAGTGTGAGTAATTTTAAAACTGGTCAGAGAGGTAAGATCACAGAGATGAGATCAGTGCTCACGGAAATTACCCCTCAGGTGGCTGACCTCCAAGAGTCGCAGTTAATACCAACAACCAGCACAGTTCTCCCACCGGGCAGCCAGCCCAGCAGAGGGGGAGGGCTCGCAGGCAGTCTCCAGGTATGGAGTGCATTTCTTGAGCTAGTTTAGATAAGACTGAAAATCCTAACCTCCAGCTCTGCTCTCTGGGTAACACAAGGAGGGACTCAGAACTGAGCGAGGGGCTTATACAACTCTCCCCGTGGGTCTCCTGGGAGGCTTCCTTCCTCATCGTAAGCCAGCCACACATGTCAGTGACTTCAGAAGGTTTCTAGGAACATGACACACTAGTAAGACTATCATGCTTCTTCTGCTACAGTGGAAGGTAGAAGAAGGTTCCTAGAAAAGGTAAAGGACACAAAAGTATTACTACAAATAGAATGAGTATTGCTGTGGGCATCAGGGTTCAGGAAGTAATCACGAACCAAGGTGAGTAAAGGCTGAACCTGACAGACAGAGAATGGAAAAGCCCGTGGGAAGGCTGTCTAGGAGAGATGATTACATGAGTACAGTTAAACATAGTCTTTATAAAATTGTTCTTTTAATATCAGGACAGACACTCAGCTGTTCAGTGGTGGCAAGAACCAACCTAAAGCTGGAGAGCCTGGGGCTCAGTCTGCAGTAACTGGGAACATAATAACAGAATCAGGGAATTCATGGATAGAAACTAGGAGAGTTCTAGAGCCTTTCAAGATGATATTCATATAATTTTACCTGAAAGAAAAGAGAACAACTTCTAGAATTAACCTTTCTCATTGATATATTTCCTTCAGTCAAATCTTTGCATGACTTCTTCCTAAAAGCACACTTACTATTGTTAGTTGAGTGGTCATCTCCACTTACCAATCCAGGGAACTAGGATGTACAAATGTGACCCTGCCCAGGAAGAACTCAGATTGATGGAACAGTGTGTGTGTGTGTTTAATTCCAAAATAACAGCACAGTTTGTAATACAAATTGGAGGCAAAGGATCTTCCAATAGGTCCAAAAATACAACCACGTCAAGAAATAACAGAGCACATGGAAAGCATTCATTACAAAGATCTAGACAGGAGCCAAAAACACTCCACGTCACTGCCCGGATGCACTTCCAAGTGCAGTAAACTGCACACACTGTAGGATCAGAGAACAGAAAGTGAAAATCACAGCATCCATGTTCAACCAAGAAGTACTCACACCTGCATCAGTAACTTTAATACCTGAGATGAAAGACCTAAAGACTTTAAGTCACATTGCCAGGTTTGACTTACAAACACCATCAATGTCACCCTTCGCAAGGTTTGCATCTGTCAATATCCAGAGGCTACACTCCTAGAAAGAATAATTTTAATTTCCTTTTAAAACATAAGTTTTAAATGTTCTCTAAATTATCATAGTCACCCATATTCTTAACTCACTGCTGATCACTTGTTTTTGTGCAAAATGTGAAAGTATTTCCCCACCTTTTT